CTCTTCGGGGTCAAACAGGAAGCCTGAACACAGGTTTCTGGTGGACACACCCCCTGGGGCTCCACTGCCAGCTACAAGGTCTTGATGCGGCCCCGTTCCAGAAGCCCCTGAGGTCATGCACAGGGAGGGCAGGCAACACGGCCCAGGCAACTGCCCACATGGGCAGTTGCAAACGGTGGGAGAGGGCAGAGTGGCAGCGGGCCCTGCCATGTCAGCCCTCCCTGGCTGGCCACACAAGGGAAAGTGCAACAAATGGCAAGCGTCCCAGTGAGTGGACAGAGCGAGCACAGTGAAGGGCAGGCTGGGAAGGCTGACGCACAGATGGGCCCCGCACGGCTGCCACCAACCTTTTCTTGGGGGGAGCGGAGGGGATGAGGAAATAAAGTGACACCCTTCTGTAGAGCGCATGCAGGGGATGGAAAAGCAAATACGAGCCCCAGGCCCTCCCCCGCCATCACCAGGTCCCCTTGGTCCAGCTGCAGGACCCTGGCCTCTGCCAGCACGCGACTCCCAACATGCCGCCCCTGCTCTGGGCTCTCTTTCAGCCGTGTCGGAGATCCTCATAACCATGAAGACCCCCACCGAGGAATGTTGGGTTTCTGGCTTCTCACTGTCCCCGGGGCCCTTGTACAGCTCACCCGGCCACTTCTCCGCACCTGCCGGGCGTCCCAGTTATTAACTCGGCCTGTTCAGAGGCTGCTGGGAGACAATGAGGCAGCTGCCCTCACCCCCAGCAGCAGCAGGGAATGAATCCTGCACCCTCTTCTGGAAGGGGCACTGGGGACCTGGCATTGAAGAAATATCCCAGTGTTTCTCGTTGATTGCTGGAGTACAGGGCCCTGCCCCAGGGGAGGGGGCTGGAGAAGCCAGGCCTCCCCCAGGCAACCAGCTCTGCTGCAACCCTGATGTAGATAAGGAACTCGGGGAGCCAGGCCCCCCCCCCACACACCGGGGCTCCCGAAGCTCTGACATGGGCACGCTGCAGCCTCTGACTTTCTATTAACTGAGAGTTAATCTGAGTTACGTAAGTGCCACTCCCCACTCGGCGGCCTTATGACTCACCGACTCCTTTGAATTCCTGGAAGGGGGTCTTAGAGAAAGAGAGTCAGTGGGCCTCACGGCTTGTCTGCTCCAGCTCCAGCAAGCCCCGGCTCCTGCCTCCCCCTCATGTCTGACTGGCATCGGGCAGGAGAAACCCTCTCGAGCCAGACTTCAAACATGAAAATCTAGATCAAGGATATATTTGGCTTTCCAAGCTAATCTTTTCATCAATTTGGTCTCTACTGACTTGTAGCCCTTTGAAGAAAACTTGGCAACCACGCATATGGAAAGCAGATGACTCTTACGTAACCCCAGAGAGGAGACCCTGGGCTCTGGAAGGCCCAGCAGTCATGGGTGGGTTGGGGTCTGCTGTTTACCCACTTCATCATGACCTAAGGGGCAGCTTTTATCCACATGGCTGGGCGGCGGAGTTTTCCCACAAGAAGCCCGGGGAGATAAATGTGTCAGGACGCACGCCGGACCCACTTGTGCCAGACATCTTGGTGGTGCCCAGGCCAGTGGGCTGGGGGATGACGAGGCTGGGCTGGGCTGCCACCACGGCCCCAGCTAAGAGGAAGCAGGGTGCAGTGGGGAAGCAGGCTGTCCCCCTCCGGAGACAGACGTCTCAGGGAGGTGTGGAGCTGTCTCCGCTTGTGAGCTGGCTTGCCCTGCTCCCTACTGACCACCCTCTTGGATGCACAGAAGAGAAGGAAGCAGGTGATCACAATAAATCAACGGACCGACTAGGAGGGGACCAACTAGGAGGGGACCGACTAGGAGGAGCCCACCAGCCCCTCCTCCGCTTGGACAGTGGATTCCCTGGGTGGGCGTGGCCTGAGGGGAGGGGGTCGCGCCCCAGTGGTGGAAAGATTTGAGCTGCCTCTCAGAACGGCCATTTACTCCAGCATCACTGTCCCTGATGAGCATCCCAGTCACTAACCCTCGATGGATTCCGGCTGCAATCAATTTGGTAGCAGCCGTCGGAAATGGGCACGAGCCAGGCTTCACCAGGAGGGCGATGTCTGTGGACAGAGCGTCTGACTCCGTCCGTCCTCTTAAAGCCTCCACACAGCCCCAGCTGCTGGACTCTAGAGGCAGGGATGGTGACAGCCCACCCCCTGGGTCCATGTGGTAAGGCCCAAACATGGTACCACGTGCATGGCCCGAGCTTGGGGGACTGCGAAGCACCCGCGAAGAAAGAGAGTCCCAGCACTTTGTCACACACCTACCCCCGAGCAGACACATGCAGCCAGGGCCTTGGTGGGTGGGAGAAAAGACAGAGCGACCCCAGGAGCACGGCCTGGGAAGAAGCCGTGGCGTTGGCCAGCCATGGCATGCCTGAGCACACCTAGCAAATGCCTTGCACACTCCCAGCCCCTGACAAAGCTGCGGCCTCCAAGGCCACTTACAACAACGAGGCAGCCACACTCTCTGCTGCGTGCTGAGTAAGCACCCCTCCGAGCTCGGCTCGGGGCTCATTTATGTCTGAGCTCCAAACCAGCTGGTCAAGCTACTGGGCTGCCTTCGAGAGATACCTTTATCCGTGCTTGGAGCTTTGATACAACTACCACCAAAAAGGCATGAAAACAGCTCAATAAGACTCAGTCTGTCTCTGCCTCATGAGAAGAAAAGGGCTCCATGCACGGCTCCAGTCAAACGCAGAAGCAAAAAACCAAGCCCAGATTTTGCCTCAGGAGCCTGAGCGGAGGGCTTCTCACTCCGGTGATGCTCAGAGCTGCCCTCCACAGACCCGGGCTCTAGGTTCGGTGTCTGTCTGATAAACCAGGTTGGAAGCCGGGCAGCAGGAGGTGCAGGGCTCACCTGGGGAGCCACCGAGTGGCTTGTAAGCAAAGCTGACGGGCTTTCTTCAAGGAAGAAGTGCGTTTGCAGGTCTGGAGCAAGCAGTCCTGGCTTAGTTACAGTTACCCTTGCCTGGTGTGCTGGGAAAACAACACAGACCCTCCCAGCAAGACACCTGTGCTGGCCAGGGGATGGCCCTCACAGATATGACAGATCTCTCTCCTGTCAGCCTCCTAGATAGGTGACAGCTCGTCCTTAGAGGCACACTCACAGAAAATCTCTTGTGCTAACACTTAAGGAAAAAAAAAAAAAAAAGCAAAAGGTCAGACTTCAAAATCACCAACAGAACTATTTCCTACAGCAAAATCCCAAGGAGATCTCACTTGGGGATGCTTTAGAGGAAATGTTTTAGTGAATTTTGAACCAACAGAGAGGTTTCTTTCCATAGTGTTTACTCTTCTCTTCCCCTTATCAAAATGTACTAATCTTTCAATCTAGCAACTTAGTAATAAAAAAAAGAAAAACCCGTAACTTGCCAGCAGTCAGTCAGGAACCAAGCGGCCAGACAGTAGCTCAGGAAGCATCTGGGAGCCAAAGGTGCACCCAGAACCAGGACTGGGACCTCCTGATCTTTCCAGAGGGCCTCCGGGGCTGGCTGAGCCTTGACAGGCGCCATGGCAGGGCACCTGGAGGGGTCACCAGGCAAGGCTGCCCTCGCTCCATTTGGTCTGCGTCCCAGAACAGGGAGCCTAAACCTTATCTAGTCCAAGCACACTGTATCGATTCAGGCCACGCCAATACCCAACAGGATCCGCTTCACCATTAACCTTTTAAAGCCCACACTGGCAAATAAGACCCGCCACCAGGAGAAAGAATGCCGCTTTCCAGAAAAAGGAGGATAATAACATTTGACAATTTTCACTAGATATTTTAAACAGTCTTTACCGCGGGGATGGGGGATTGTCTCATAAATCAAAGGTAGCTAGAGAACGCGTGGCGCGCTCTGTCCTCTTCTGATTTCTCAAAATCAGGACGCGCACTTGAGTCTCCTTTCGGCTCACTCCCCCCAGCTTTGATGGGGCGGCGGTGGGGGCGGCTCAGGCAGCCGCTCCAGCACCTAGCGGCCCTTTTCTCCCCAGCACGGGAGCGCAGTGCATCCCAGTGGACAAACTCGAGAACCGCAGCGCTTTCTCCGCCTCGGCCTATGTCCTCCTTGCTTTCGGTTGCAACCCGGGACCCAAAAACGCACCAGTTCCGCGAATCCCCCTGGCAGGTGGGCGACGGTTTGGAGGCAGCCTGCCCCGCCAAGGAGACAACTATGCACTACTGAGCTTTACGCCGCCCCAGGCACGGGTTGAAAGCCCGAGCTCCACAGCAAGCGGGCAAAGTTTGCCGGAAAGGGTCTTCCTGTGTACCCCTGGCGCCGAGTTCTGGGCTCGACCCCCTGGTTCCAGAGGCCCTGGAGTCCGGACTCAGACAAGCCCCGGGGCGCTCCCGCGGGTGTTTGCGTGAGTGGGTGGGTGGGGGGTGCCCGCCCGCGCTCCCCCAGAGCCCCAGCGTCTCCCGCCCCAGCTGCCCGCCAGCTGTGCGCGCCCGTCGGGCCCGGAGGTCACCGGCAAACAGCTGGATCGGCAGCTGGGAGCCCGGGAGGCCCCTGCTCAGCCCTGGGGCCCCGAGGAAGGGGAAGGGAGGGCGGAGTGGCTGTTTGATTTTGGTTTCCTCCAACTCCGCCTTCTAAGCTCTCGCCCGGAGCCGGGAGCCGGGAACCGGGAGCCGGGAGCCGGGGAGCTCTCGCTTTCTCCGGCAGCCCCGGCCCCCGCCCCGGGTCCACGGCCCGCCGGGCCCCGGGGAGAAGGCTTGCCGGGGCGGCAGGCCAGGACACTGCGCTGCTGGTGCCGGGAGCCGCGGGCTTGCCCGGCCAGCCCCGCTGCAAGGGGAGCTGGGGGGGGGCGCCGCTGACCCGACCCAGACGCGCGCAGCCGGGGAGAGCCGGCCGCTCCCTGCGGGGCCGCGGAGCTCCGAGCTCCCGGGGCCCCTTCTGGCAGCTAGCGGGGAGCGGGGAGGGGTCCCTTTATTTGCAACGTTGAGGAGAGCGCCGCTTCAGCCCAGCCCGGCACCCACGCACCCACACGCACCCCGGCGCTGGCCGGGTCGCTCACCTGAGTCCTAAAAGCTGTTGAATCCACATGGTCACGTTTCGGGGAGCGGAGCCTCAGACCTTGCTCGCCCCGGCCATCTGCGCGGCGCCCGCGCCCGCTCGCTTCCGTCCCGCGGCGCCGGTCTCTGGCTCTCGGTCCGCCGCCGCCCGCCGCCCGCCGCCCGCCGGCCGCGGGGCGCTGAGCGAGTCAGAGCGCGGCCGCGCGGGGCTCCATGCCGGCCGGCGCGCCGCCGCCGTTGGGGCGCATGGCTCAGGCGGGGCGGCCCGCGGGGGCGCACATCCTCCGGCCGGGGCGCGGGGCTCGTCGCCCCTCCGGGGGCGAGCCAGCGAAGGCGGCAGCGAGGCGGGAGCGCCCACGGCCGGCCCGGGAGGGGCGCGCTCCGGCGCTGCGGCCGTGCGGTGAGAGTCGGAGGAGACGCGGCTTCGCCCTCCGGGGCGGTGGGGAGGGAGGCCGGGCGGCGCCGCCGCGCACGGTGCGTGTCTCGTGGCGCGGCTCTCGCCTCCGGTCCGAGCCCCGCGCCGAGGGGGCGGCGCGGTCCGGGGGTGCGGGCGGCGGCGACGCGGTAGGACGCGGGTCGCCTCCGCGCGCCGCCAGGTCAGGGGGCTCTGCCGGGGGTGCGCCGCCGGCCGGCACCGCTCAAGTTGGCCGGGGGCTCCGTCTGAGCGCTCGCTCTGCAGACGGCCGCGGCGCCGGAGGCCGGCAGGAGGCGGGCGCGGGAGGCGCGCGGGGCGAGGGCGCCGTGGAGCGCGGGGCGTGGGGACGCGCGGCGAGGCGCGCGGGGATCCCGGGGCCCCGCCGCCCGCGCCCACCGCGCCCGCCGCAGAGCCGCCCGCGCCGCTCGGCCGCCTCCCTCCGCGCGTCTGCCTCTCCGCGCGCTCGCCCCCGCCTCCCCGAGCGGGTCCCAACTCCGCCCGCCCGCCCGGCCCGGCTCACGTCACCCGCCTTCCCCGCCCCTCGAACTGGAGCCCGAGCCCCCTGCCCGGCGCCGGCTGCCGCTCTCTGTCCCGCCTCACCGCGCGGGGCTGTGCCCGGCCCCGGCGACACATCAGGCGGGGTCCCCGGCCGCCCCTTCCCCACCCCCGGCCTCGTCCCAGTCCCCACCTTGGGAAAGGCTCGAGAGAGGCCGCGGGCTCGGATTGGACCGCTGGGCGCCGCCGGATGGTGTTGCCACGGTAACCGGATGGCCTGTGAAGCAGTTCGAGGTTCCGACCCATTTACGGGTGCGCGGGGTGGACCTGAAGCGCTAATTTGGGGAGGGGGCGTTCCCGAGGGAGCACTGGTGGGGGGCGCCCGGAGCGAGAGGCTGCGCAGAAAGTTTCCTCCAGGCGGAGCTGCACCAGAGGCGCCGCCAGAGTCTGGGAAGCGGGAGGGTCCGCTACCAGGGGTCCCTCTTTTCCCGCCTCCCCGGCCCCCAGCCTTGGGCCCTGGCGGAAGAAGCCGCGGCGTCCCAGGTCAGAGCTTAGCACCTTCTGCCCCAACCCAGCCCGGACCTGAACGTCCAGGCTCCCACAGCCCCCGGGGTTGAGCGCCAGGCAGCAGCCGCTGCTCGGCCGGGCCCCCGCTCCCGAGGAGTCGCTGAGTTCCGAGTCCTCGGCCTTCCAGACTCCCGCCACAGCCGGTAAGCCGGCCCATTTCCCATCCCAACACTTCCCCTTGCCTTCCGGGTGAGGCTGTATTTGCAGGACAGTGCTGGAGGAGGAAGGGCCCTCCAAGCGGGCCTCTCTCTGAGAGAAGTGACCTACAGCGAACCGCTCTGCCCACCAAGGAGAAAGCCCGCAAAGGCCCGGCCGTCCACTCGGTGCCCTCGCGGGCGCTGCAGAATCGCAGGCCTTAGGGATCACCTGGTGCAGCTCTTCTGTGGCAAGCTCGGAATCGGGCCCAGGATTGGAAGGAAAGTTAACTAACACCAGATCTGACCCATGCAGCGGCCTCCCTTAGCCAAGCACTGGAATCACCCCAGTCTTGTGAGGTCAGCGCGAAGACCCCACTTGGCTGGTCAGGCCTCCCTGAGAAGGGGCAGTTTGTGGTGGGGCAGATCCAGGCCCTACGTGGCTGGGACTTGGACTCCCAGGCAGGCCCTTCATCCCTGGGCTTCGGGTCTTTGAGAGCCATCGGGGTCTACTCCACCCAGACAGCAGGTGCGGGTGACCTGCCTCCCCACGAAGAGGCCATAGACAGGAGGCGAGGAACCATGGTGGCAAGAACCCAAGATTTGCCGTGAGCAGACGATCCTGTGCTGTTCACTCACTGAGGGGGCCTGGGTGCCTGATCTAACTTCTCTGACCCTGTTTCCTTCTCTGTAAAATGGGTTTCATTTTTGTGGGGAGTAAATGAGGTGGCCTCACGCACAGCGTCACTATTAGGGTTCAAAGAAGCACCAGGCTGAGTTAGCACTTTGCCTGCCTGGCCCTTCCTGGATGATGCCCCCCCCCGGAGCCTGCTCCCTGTGGAGTTTGGGGGAGCAGAGCCCACCACGGGGGGGGGGGACCAGGAGGTGCTGGAACCACAGGCTGTGCCCAGGATGGTCGGGAGAAGGGGGTGCCCACAGTGCTGCCACCTAGCGGGACAAAGTGGGGGTGCTGCAGGAGGGAGGCCCTTTCAGGAGCCAGAACAACCCTCTAGTAGGCCCCTGGCCAGGTGGGGTTGGGGGTGGGGGAACGTCCTGATCCCCTCGGTCCCAGGGACCCCTTCAGCAACCGTGTGCAGAGTGGGGACCTTGTCTCAGAATGTTTGTAAATGCATACGCTAAAGGGCACTAGGAAGAGTTATTAGGGAGTCAATTATATTGCAATGCGTCATCAAACTATTAAAACCAATTTTTGAAATAGCAATGTGTGTTCTTTAATATTATGTCAAGTGATGAGTGGGCGGATCTAAAACATAGCGCCATTTAGAAGTGGAGATATGCAGCAATGGTATTTTGAGACAGCTGAAATGTCGGTCCCGTGATGGGGGGATACCTGCAGGTTCCGGGTCTGAGGGCAGGTCACAGGGGCTTCGTGCCCCTGCGGCCTGTTGCCTACACTTGTGATGGAAGGAAATGCTGGATTTCAGTTGGAATTTGCAAGAAGAAACATATCATTTTTCCCCACCCATGTATAAAGACGCCTTGGGTTCTACCCACATACCCTGGGGGTCCCTGGACCCCAGGTATGAGCCCCTGGCTAGGCTAGAAAGGAGTGTGTCCTGGAAGCAGCAAGGGAGTAAGCTGGCAGAAGTAACAGGAGAAGTCAGAGTCTGAAAAACACGGTAGTTGTTCACCAAGTGAGTACAGGCCTCTGTCATCTCTGGGGGCGGGGGCCTGCCCTCCGTCCCACCCAGACCGGAGCGCATCAGTAAGGCCTAGGGCACACTAGAGTTCCCTTTTTCCTCTGGGTGCTGATAACTACAGCACAGCTCCCTCTGGAGAAAGCACCCACCTGGTATTCTGTTTGTTTTTATATTTTTCTCTTGATGAAAACATTGTCGTTTTTTACATGCTGTAAAATAATAAAACCAGGACTTCTAATTCACCATTAATGTAATTGATTTTCTGTACTTTGAGGCCATCTCACATTTCTGACCTTTTCATTTGCCTCCTCTCTTGGGAATTGGGAGGGTGGGCGGATGTCATCCCAACACACGGACTGTCACACACACACACACACACACACACTCACAGGCCTCCCAGCTTCAGCAAGTGCAAAAGGGAAGTTTTCAGAGGTAGCCGCTATAGAAATCTCTCCCAGCCCCCTCCCCACTTCTGGTTGCTACCCCCCACTCAGGAGCAAGCCGCACCCTGAAACTCTAGAATCAGCTTGCAGCACACTGGTCTCTCTCAGCCCCCTTGCCTCTGCCCTGCCCTATTTTCCCAACCAAGGAGTCTGCTGACCCCCTGCAGGTGGTCCTTTCTGAAGCTCTCTTAGGCCATTTACCTAATGGCCTTCATGGAGTCGACTATTTTTAAAACCCATCCAAAGCCAAATTGAACTGCCATTGTTCATTTTTCTCCCAAGGAGGTAAATGTGTCTTAAGCATGACATTTGATTAAGTAGCTAAGTTTGTGATTTTAAATGGAAGGAAAAATGCTGATTAAAATTATTATAAGTTTCTTTAAAGCATTCACACTACTATCTTCTCTGTCCCCGCCTTACTAACTCCCCCACACAAGAAAACTTGTTTGTGATGAGGTGGAGGTGGGGAATGAACTCCAAGTCACTTTTCCTTTGTGGGCGGGGGAGGTTAAGTGCCCAGACTTTGGAATCCCTCTCCTGTCTTCTGAGCTGCAAACTCCAGCTGGGTGCAAGAGCGAGGCTGCCCTGTCAGGGGCCAGAGAGAGAAGCCGAGACTCCCCCAGACAAAGTGACTCACAGGACAGTCAGCCCACAGCCCAGGGCCAGCAAGAGAAAATGCCGGGTCTCTCCTGTCCATTCAAACAGGCTCGTGCATCTGAAAGAGGAAAAGTTGCTCCCTCCACTTGGTCTGAGCAAGTGATGGACTCTGAAGACAGGTGGGAAAAGGGCCGCCTAAGAACTTGAGCTGGCCTGGGATAGAGGAAAAAAAACCATTTCAAGGCTTTTAGGGATTCAATGTGATGACAGGTTTGCTTCTTCTATTTAGATGGACAAGAATGACAAGAAAGAGAATTAATTTGCATTGCAAAATACAGTGACAATTTGAACACAGTCGCTTGGCAGTGTGGAGTCCGGAGGTTTGGGGCCTGCAGCTGGAGAGAAGAGGAAAAGGTCCAGAGGTGGGCAGAGGCATGCCGGGAAGCCGGTCAGGAGCTGGATGCCCCTGGGAGGGGCCACGGTGCCCAGTTGTGTCCTCACATTTTCTCGTAACTATGGCTGAGACCAAAGTCTGAGGGTCTTGTCTCACATTTGGTTCTGCTCCAAGGCAGTTGTGATCCTGTAAAAGTATGTCAGGGAGTGATGAAGGGGGTGGTCTCTGCTGTGGGGCAGGTCAGGGTCGGGGAGAGGCAGTGGGTGGAGCCGGCGGAGCCCGAAGATGGGAGGAAAATCCCCTTCCTCTCTCATACTCCAGAAGACACTGGACCTTGAGAGGTAGAGGGGAGGGGTGCTGGACTTCACAAAGTGCTCGGGATGGGGCTCATTTGGATATTAAGGAAGAGAGGGGAGGGGAGACCAGGGACATGGGAGATCAGACCCTCAGTTGTTCTAGGGGGTGAGTCTCTCTCTGGCACCCAAAGTTCCAACACCTGGTAGTAGGAGTATGAGAGGATGGGTTCATCCTGTTGAATGAGCCCTTAGCACATACAGGAAGGACCAGTGGGTGAGGCTCCCTGGAAATAAACGTGCCTTGCTGGAGAAGCTCCTGAAACAGGGACGACCGCACAGGGAAGGAGGTCTGACCTGGGAGCGGTTGCTGCCACTGGCTGGTCTCTGGATGCCAGTGTATCTCCACTATTGATGTCCCTTCCCAATTGATTCATAAGC